GCCCAGCCACAGCTCTTTCTTCTGCCCGCTGACACTGCGTGGTGGACTGGGCAGACGACCCTCCTCTCCTACTGCCTTCCCTTACCTCAATTATGATGTGAGGCTTTTAATTTAAGTTGTACCTGTTTAATTTTCTTTTTGACTTCTGTGATGAATGGAAATGTGGCAGTCAGCAAGTTCCACTCAGTCAGATTTGATGTTTTTCGACTTTTTCAGTGCCTTGACATTTTTGACTTTTTAAATTAAATTTAATCTAGAGTTTAAAGAAGCATGATGCTCAAAGTGTCAAACCTGTCTTTTCATTGAACACAGAACCACATGGTTAGGCTTATAAATTTCCCCACTGTGGGATCAATAAAGTACCTATCTACCTAAAACTGGATTTTGAGTTTACATAACCTAGACATTTTAAGACTTCCTGTTAAATGTGTACATATGCATCATAATCTATGTTTGTTACTGTGTTTTCCTCCGTGCCAGCCCTCACTGTGGTACCACTCCAGCGCTGTCCTGGCTTTGGCCCTGGACGCCCTCACTGCTCCTTACAGGCTGAGGAACAACAGCGTCCCCATGTGGCAGGTAGCAGACACCCTGGCCGCAGCAGGGAGAAAGGTAATTTACTGCTGCAGGTTTTCTTACACTACTGGAAACACGATGCTGGAGAAGTCTAACTGTTGCAGCATGAGAAACAAGTGATTTTTCTTTTCCTTTTTTTTATTTTATTTATCTAGAACTAATATTTTTACTGTACTGTATTTTGATGATGAAAACATCCTTGTGATAGAGTCCACACTATCAGTAGGACTGGCCAAGCAGGACTGTTCCAGCTGCAGTGATAAACAGTTACCTTCTTTAGTTGTCCTGCTCATTTACTGTGATCTCTTTAAATTAAATTAAAGGTGGTGGCTGCTTATGGTGCCGTCCCATTGCCCATGATGCACGGCAGCTCGCTCCCTGATGCTCTGAGTGCCTGCGCAGATGCTCCGCCATGGAAACCTCTGTCAGCTTGTTCTGAACCAGACGATGGTCGATGTTACAGCCAGTGGGCGACACTCAGAGGCTTTGAAGGCCAGAGACTAATCAGGTCAGAACTGCATGAATTACTGATGTACCATGTGTATTTTATTCATAGAAACTATTTATACTGTGTATCATACAGAGCCAGTTGGAGGCACCGATGCAGGCCATCTCATTTTTCCATACACGGTAATCAGTGTTTTTAAAAAAATGACTGTGTAATTTTTGCAGTTCAAACTTTGTTAAACTGACACATTTAGTGCTTAAAAAAGCCTACCATGCATGTGGAATTATAATAATAATAATATAATAAACCTTATTTATATAGCACTTTACAACTCCGAAGAGCACAAAGTGCTGCACAGTGGAACATATATATCAGCTAAAAAAAATACTAAAAACAATCAATCCAAAACACAGGTTTATAAAATCCTAGCACAAAGTTTCATCAAAATAAAATAGTATAAAACAACAAGTTAAACCATGTCCCTTTGGGGCAGATAAAACGGATTAAACACCAAAAGCCTGTTTAAAAAGGTGAGTTTTTAAAGTAGACTTAAAAACTGCTAGCTCGGTTATAGACCAAAGTGAGGCGGTAATGAATTCCAGAGTCTAGGACCATAGACAGCAAACAAGCGGTCACCCCATTTTTTGGATCGGGCTCGCGGAACAACTAAGGACAAGTGCTCAGCGGAGCGCAAGGTTCGGCGCGGACATAGATAGATAGCAGCTCCGGCAGGTACAGTGGGACGAGACCATGTATGGCTTTAAAGACAAATAGCAGCATCTTAAAATCAACTCTTCATTGTACTGGCAACCAATGTAGTGAAAAAAAGAACAGAATCGAGCCTTGAGGGACGCCTGAGGTAAGTGGGGCTACATCAGATGAAAAATCGTCAATAATAACAGAAAAGGTTTTTCAAAAAAAAAAAAATAATTTTAAGCCCGCGCCCCTCAGGCCAACGAGATGTTAAAGTTTAGAAAGTAAAAGTGCACGATCGACCATATTGAAGGCTGCCGAGAGATATAAAAGAACTAAAATAACGTGGTGCTTGGCATCCAGAGCCATGGTAATGTCATTATGGACTTTGAGTAGAGCAGATTCCGTACTATGGCGGGACCTAAAACCTGACTGAAACATGTCGGTAAGGTCCAGATGATCTAAGTGCGCCTGCAACTGAGTAAGAACAATTTTTTCCATCACCTTAGATAACAAAGGTAGTAGGGAAATTGGGCGAAAGTTGGATGGATCGAGACTGGGTTTCTTGAGAAGTGGTCTCACTACAGCATGCTTAAGGGCGGTGGGAACCGAGCCCGAGCTAAGGGAACAAATTAATAAGAGTGACCAAGGAGAGCCTGACCGTGTCGATAGCCTCCTTAATAATCCTGGCTGGGACAGAATCCAGGGGAGAGGCAGGTTTTAGCTGTAAGACATATTTTTTAAGTTGAGGCAGAGAGATCGGAACAAAAGAATTAGGTGCTAAACAACGAAATGCGGCAAAAAAATTAAAATAAACCTGAACTCTAGCTGGTTTTAACAAAAAATATTTCTAATTGTATCTGTAATTGTGTTGCATGATTCAGGTTTAATAACCTGTCCTGGTGCTAATTTGCAAATCAAAACGTGTGAAGTTGCAGCTTTGTCCTTGTTTCCATAAATGAAGAGGAAAACGTCTGTAGGAACATGCAGGTATTAAACATGAATTTTTCTTTTGAAATAATCTTCTATCAGCTGTCTGGCTCCGGGGACTACACCTCCCACTGCTCTGCACAGCCTCCACAGTGGGGAGGATGTGCTGGCGTCCTACATCGGATCCTTTTATCCTACAGCTCCTCTGTGAGTCCCTGCACTGATGCATGCTTTTACTTTTCTCTAGGAGGAAGAGTGTTGCAACCCTCACCTCTCTCCTTACTCCGTCTTCACAGGGCTCTGCAGCTGGTGTGTACACCCAGTAAGCTGATACCCCCTTTCCCTCAGATATTCAGCCAACACCTTGATTCTCAAGGCTTCCTGCAGAGCCAACCGCCTCCACCTGGCTGTGAGTACATTTCTGTTATTACTAGGGCTGGACTCGAATATCCGACTGTTTGTTCATTGGGTAGGTAATCTGTTTTCAATTTTAGTATTCAAATATGCCAGTTTGCATTTAAATACCGATGTTAATGTGGTTGAAATCACCATTTTCATGCCATGTCTTTTAGATTTGTCTATGCCTTTAAATGTTAAGGTTGGTCATTTTCTGGATTAATAGTATTTTCAACTCTCCCCATACAGAGACAAAAACCCACAATAATTTGCCTTTACTCACAATTAATCTCAGTCTCCAACCTGGATTATCTTATTCATGTGTGCCACAGACGTCCGTTCAAAAACATCAGTGAAACACACCGCTGCGTTGGGTGACATTTCTTCATTAAGAAACATCAGACCCTAATATTTGTTAAAAATGTTGCCCCAAAAGATCCAAATGATAAAAACTTATTACAGTGTGTGAAGTAGCAAGACAACTGCACAGGTGTGAGCTTTCTGCTTTGTTTACAGTCTGCTAGCTTCCTGTGCTTTCGCGGGTGGCTCTTGCTCGCTTCAGATGCTGTAAAACGTTACGGTCATCCGGAGCTTGTGGGGCACTAATTTTAGCAAATATATGGGTCTGGTGCTTTGTAATGAAGAAAAATGTCTCCCAGCACGGCTGTGTGTTTCAGTTTGTTTTTGAACCAAACTGGTGGTATGGGGCACAGATAAATATGTTAATATGGGTTGGAGACTGACATTAACTGAGTAGAGCAAGAGGCAAATCATTGTAGTCTCTTTATAAAATACTATTAACATAGAAAATGACCAACCTTATCCTCCAACTCTTCTCTTTGCAGCTCCAGTCCCTGTGGTTTCCTCTGTGCCTGTCATGACTTCCCTCCAGTCTGGGCCTGCACTTGGCCCATGGCTGTCAGAACTGCATGGTGGTGCCAGCGGTTCCGATATCCGCCGCATGGCCGCTAGTTTCCTCTCCCATGGGCCTGAAATGGCGGACTACCAGGAGGCGCTGGAGCAACTTTGCCTACTAGCCCGGTGTTACAGAGATGACAGTGGCGGGGTGATGCGCTCTTCCTCTGAGGAGGATGATGATGACTGATGTGGACAGTCTTTAGGTCCAAGATCTGGATGGACTGTAACTTCGTTGTCCACTTTGTTTACCAGCCTGCATGTAGTCATGGGCACCAGAAGAGGAGTTGTGTCTCTAGTTACTGAAGGACCGGGACTCAATTACATGGCGACAGTACTCTTACTGAAACACAATGAAGACAACTGGACTGCAATACTACTCTAAAAGAAGCACATGAGTAGTATTTACTAAGGAGATGGATGTAGCTTCATGCCAATGTTACAGACTGCTCACATTTCCTCAACGGTTTCTGTAATTTAATGCATTTTACACAAAATGTACACTATAAAATGACTGTACTGACAAGAAGACAGTGTTGGCGCACCTCTACTGGGCATTACCTCAGGTGACTGACAACACAGATTCTGATGGTTCTCGATACTTAAGTTCTTACTGGCTAGGTCATACTGGAAACTGCTTAAAGACAAACTTTGCTGACTTGTCAACAAGGGTTTAATAATTAGAATTGTTAGTATATTTTAATTACAATCACCTTACCTCCCTTCATGTTTCCTGTACACAAATCCCTGTTTATCCTACCAGTTGACAAAAATTGACATTTTACGTCACCTGGCGGATTCTTGCAGGACAACTTGCATTTCTTTGTACAGGAAACATGGAGAGAAGTAAGATATACTTAATTTAGAGAAAGTACCAATTATACAATTATTAAAAGTCTTGTGGTAAATGTGCAGTTTGCCTGTAACACAGTCCAATGTGACCTGGCAAAAAAGTCAAAATGCAAATTTGATGAAGCTAAAGCCAGCGACCACAAATGCTATTCTACAAGTGATAGTTTTGTAATCATGATTTAGATCCCTATGCAATCTCAGTCTCATGTGACAATGATTCTGCCATGTTTTCATTAGGACAGAGATGCCTTAACCAATAACCTCAACGCAAGTCATTTCTGCCTCAACTGCTATTTGGCACTAGGTGTACAGGGCAGGCAGCACAATGACAAACATGTTGGATTAGCTTTTGAATCAGTCTTCGCTGCCTGTCTACAGCTCGTCAAGCAATTGTAACACATTCATACTATTGGTTAACAGCCTAGTGAAGAAAAGGGAGGGCTTGGTTTGATGTAAGGCATCTTCGTGCTAATGCAAACAGCAGAATCAATATCATGTGAGACAGACTGCACAGGGATCTAAATCACTCACACAAAACAAATCATGCAGCCCTACAACCTTGTCAGTCAATATTTTACCCTGTGATTTGGCCCCACATACTTTGGCCAGGAAATTGTTTAAAGTCATTAAGAATAAGGCTGATAATCTACTTTTGTTACTGTCAAAAGACCATGAAGTGTTAGTGGAAGTTTTAAGTGCTCTACCCTGTCGCAAAATTTTTTTTAGTACCTATAGATGTTCTTTGGTTTGGTCTTTTGGCAAAATTAGTTAATAACAAAAACAAATAGTCACCAGCCTTATCCTGTTCCCTAAAGGTGGAGAAGGTGAAATTTACTGTTAACTATGCAAAACTGCAGTAATTTAATAAAATTTACTGAATTATTAGTTGATCTAGTCTACGATTTTTAAACAAACTGGTTCCCAAAACGAGTATAAAGAAAAGTAACCAACATACAATAATCTGATCCCAGAAATCGGTGTAGATGGACATGCTGGACTCACTGACTTTGAATCTGTTATCAATTTAAAAAACAAAATCTCGACAAATTCAGAATAGGCATTATTGTTTTTAATCTGAAATAAAATGATACAAAGATTTCAAAAAGGTGATGCCAGGCCATGTTCCCACTCAGTATATACTGAGAGTAAGTTTCTACATTTGAAAAAAAATAAAAAAAAAATCTAAGATACACACTACACCATTTAAACTCATAAAATGGAGATTACACCCTGTTTTTGTACAAACCCCTCCTTATGGGACAACTCTAATGAAAAAAAAAAAAAAGGTTGATTTGAAAACAAATGAAACCGAGTAGCATGTGCATAACAGACATTGAGCTTGAGTGCCTGATATCCTACAGCTACTTGTAAAAAAAACTGGGGGCAGGGGTAGTGTTCCAGGGTTCGGACAATGTAAACAGAGGACAGGGGGCTACTGGTATAAGGGCTCATGACAAACAGTCCAAAATCTAAACTAGGAGCGGGAACGGGAGCGAGAACGAGACTGGGAGCGAGACTTGGAGCGGGACTCCGACCGTGAGGCAGATCGGGAGTGGGACCGAGCTTTGGCAGGTGAGGGGGAACGGGATTTTGATTTGGACTTTGATTTAGACCTGGCTCTGGATTTGGATTCTGCAGGGGAGTGAGAACGGGAGCGAGAGCCCCTCTCAGGCTCACCTCCCTCATCATCACTCTTGGGCTGCTCGCGGCCCTTTGAGCCAGATTTCCTAGAGCGATCCTTAATTCCTGACCTGGAACGAGACCTAGAGCGAGAGCGAGATCTGGACCTGGATTCCTCCTTCTTGGCCTTCTTTTCTTTCTTGATCTTCTTGCTCTTGGGGCTGCGGCTCCTGCTGCCTTCTTTGCCCTTCTGAGCACCGTTGCCGTGCTCCTCTTCCTCCTTCTTGATCTTGGGTTTATTCTTCTTGCTACGAGATCGGCTGTGGGAGCGGGACACGGCCCTGTGGACAAAAATAAATGGTTAAGGATGAGGTTTCATTCCTTTCTACTGTCAACTTCTGGATTAAAAACACACACTCCCTACAAAATTACTGAAATAATTTCCACTATTAGTGTAGCTATTGCACCAATTATCAATTCCATCTCCTGATGAACTTGCAACACTCAATCACAATTTAAGCTTGAAAAAGGGAAATCAGATAAATTCCACAGTTACAATGTTTAGGATTTGGCACGTGCACAAGATGCACACTTTGTCTACGTTTTAGGCACTGGAGTTGCTTGGGTTCTCTTCCATCACACGCCATCAGGGAGGCTTCTGATTGGTCCTAAATTTAAATCAGCAGCACATCAATGAACCCAAACCTCCAGCCAGAGTCAAAGAACTATGTTCAGCGACAAGAACAAAGAGTCCCGCAGCAGATATCATCCGATTCAGGTTTTTTTTCCATTTCCTGCACTAACTGATAAAGGTCATTCATGCCATTAGCTTATGAGAGCATCCTCACTTTATGTAAAAGGTGCATTAATTCTGATTTTATACATTGTTTGATAAACCCACTGAAAATTGGACAGGATGTAGCGTTTCTCAGCTATTCTATCCCCCTGCATGACACTGCTGCCTATAGCCCTTCTGTTGTTATTCCATCTTCTATACCATGTGTTTTTCAAGTTAGGCCCACCTGTCACTTTACAAAATTCATAAGAAATGCAAGTTGTCATTTCAAACAGTCACGCAGGCAGCAGCTAAAAGTCGGATCACATTACAACAGACATAACTAAGTTTATGTGTAAGTTACAAATAATGTTAGCCCCCCGTATAAACTATGTATTGCACATCCCCTCTGATAGAGGTTTCTCACCTGGAGCGGGAGCGACTGCGACTGCTGCTCTCACTGCGGCTGCGGCTTTTGCGAGACCTGCGACTCCTGGAACGGGACCTGGAAAAAAAAACGTTATGTTACAAATGTTTAGTGACAATCACCAACAACTGGTCAGACTAGAGTCCAGTTATTCAGTATACATCAGAAGTATGGTATGATCACAGTGAGGCACGAAACCTGGAGTGGCTGCGGCTGCGAGAATAAGAGCGACGGCGTCGGGCTCCGGGACGGTCCTCAATGAGTCGGATCTTTCTGCCATTCACTTCTGTGCCATCAAGCTTCTCCAGAGCCCTTTTCATATCAGAGTAGAGCCTGAACTCTATCACCCCCTCGTTCTTCCGGCCCTTGTGGGTGTCAGCGTAAGTCACCTCCCCTGCCTGCCTCATGTAGTCCTTTTGAGATATGGAAACAAACAGTGATCAGGGGATATGTGATGAGTATTATAAAGATAATTTCAGACATGGTGACAAACTCAGTGCTGCAGCCTCTGCTAGGAGTGCTCTGGCATTTGTTTTAGCATACTGGTCAGAATTCATGCAGATTTGTGATTTTTCAGTGGTGACCTTTTATCAGTGTGCACAGCAGTTGTCTGTATTAATATTCCTTTTAACTGTCTGGAAATCAACAATGGCTTCCACTATGATGTACAACTGGTCCAACAGTTCTAAAGCACTCGAATTCTAAATTTCAAGTTGTTAGGAACTAGACAGCCGGCAAATGAGAGGACAGCTTTAGTGTTTGTGGTCCCTGACATTACTTCCTTCACACTGAAGAAAAGAAAAAAAAACTTCATACCTTCAAGTCCTGCCAGCTGCAGCGGCTGGAAAGATTCTCAACAATGAGGCGATAATCTGTCCTTATTGGTGGACCATATCGGTCTCTTCCCCCCCAGCGCCCACCATATCCACCTTTCAAGGTAACAAGGAAAGAACAGGACAAATGAGGACCGAGAAGAAAGTGAGATGATGCATTTATGCTAAACTCCAAGCTACACACTACAAATGTATCAATATTCACTTGGGAAAAGCAAACAAAGAAGGGGAAAAGCAAAGGTGGAAAAAAGACTTACAAACAAGAAATAAGATTCCTGAAATCCTAAAAAAAAACAAACACCTAATTAAGTATTCCTACAAGTTGACAAGCTTTATTAAAATTTTAGCTTAAAATTTTGGTAGAAGTTCAATAGACCTAGTTTCTAAATAGGAAAGAAAAAAAAATCAAATTAAAAAAAACTTAACTGTTCGAGGAAGTACTTACGGTGAACTAAATCAAGTTTCTAAACTAACCTAACTAAAAACATTTCACTGTTATAATACATGTTCTTTTTTTTCAGGCACCTATGAGAGCTGAACCCACATCTGTTCCTAACCCCTTGGTATCCTCACCACCCGGCCTGGGCCTAATGGGAAAAGCGGTCTTCATTCACAATGGCTCCCTTTTTTGGTCTGCCCAGGGGCCCAGAATGGTCAAACCACACTCTTGGAAAGGGGGGACACCATGGCCAGCAATAGGGGCAGGCAGTCAGCAAAGGACTCTTTCAATTAAAACATTGAGGTTCTTTGTTAAATCTTTACTTTTAAATTGACAATCATTTTAAATAAAATAAAAAATGGAATAAGACATCAATAGATTACAAGATATTTGACAAATACTTATGTTACAGTATTCAAATTAATACAGTTATATTACTTGCCATCACTAAGCCATTTCCCCATCACATTCACATGTAACTGCATTTTTATTTTTATTTAACAAAGTTTCATTCCAGCATATGGAAACCCATAATATTTTTCAAGTCATTGGTGGCTCTGGTGCACACAAATTTAATCATGTACTGGTAACTGTTCTTCAGCTGGTGAAGAAACACTGTTAAGTGCTACTTGTACATGGTCTGCTTAACACATTTGCAAGACAAAACTGCTGCTCTGGAGTGTGATATCCAGAAACTGAGACATGCCTGTATGTTAAATAGGACTTCCAAAACACAAGAGGTTCACCAGGATCAGAACAGCAGCAAATAGGGATGAAATTCAGATGGATGTAGATGGGTTTGTGTGACTCAACAACTGAAAAGAACGTTCCACCTGAGAAAACGCCCGTTAACTTTGCAATGCGAGGGTGGACTCAGCACAGTTGTTAGGGAGAGAGAGAAAGTAAGAGTAAAGCTGGGTGAGACTCAGAAATCTATCAGAAAAATGTTATTTCCCAAAGTTACAAATTCCAAAATCTACTGTGTCCTGTTCCACAACACTGAACCACATTTAAGTACCATCTACAGCAACAAATGATCTTCATTAGTATCAGCTGCAGACCACACACCATCAGTAGTGTCACGCCAACATTTCTATTGTGATTATTAGGATATAAATTGAATGCACATCAGCCACCAAGGACAAGCTTGAAATTTTTCCCCTTTGAAGTTCAAATTAATGATTCCCTGTAATGAATGAAATCCCTCATCACTGACATTATTCATGTGAAATAAAAACAATACTCAATTAGACACTTACTCCTTCCACTATAGCCTCCATCTCGACGGGGTCCCTTGGTGTGCTCCACAATGACCCTTTCCCCACATAACTCTTTGCCGTTGAGGTCATACACAGCATCGTCTGCATCACGGGGGTCATCAAATTCAACAAACCCATACCTGGGGGGATAGAGGACTTATTTTAACAAAAAATTACAACAAGCCATTTGAGATATGATCAAAATTACTACACTGAAAAACTAAAGATCTGTGGTTTGCACAAACTGGCCATATACACCCCGTTGCGCAACATTAACAACAAAATGTTGTTAAAGGCTACCATATTGTATTTCCTTCTTAGGCAGTTAAGTGCTGTAGGCGGCTGCCTACTGTAACCTGGTTTTCGTTTGCTTTGGACTAAGAGACAAAACGATCCACTTCAATATGTCCTGCAGGAATTAAACTGTTACCAGTGTCATGGTAAAATTTCCAAAGGTCAGTATTAGCACCTCAAATTTTAAATATACTCAAAATCGTGGTTGATTACCACCCATTAGAGAGTTAAATACAGCCCAGGATCAACCAAACTCAGCTGGAGGTTGTCAAGCACAGTATATGTGGGTTTGTTTGGGTCAGTGACAACCCTCTGGAGATTTTTCATCCATCTAAGAAGACAAAGTCATTAGTGTGGGCATAATTTGGTTTTAACAAGGATCCTGAGGGGACTTGGGGTGTACTCACACTAGGCACATTTGTTTCTATGTACTCAAATGCAACAGAGAAGATTGAATATAAAAGTGTGTGTGAGATAGAGATTAATAATAATATAACTAATAGTACATTTGCTGTCCCCCTGTTTACAGAGTGGACAGGAAGCAGGATACTAATAATTATTGTCAGTTTAGAAAAAAAAAACATAGGTGAATGTTTGCCGTTAGTTTACGTACTTGTTGAACATTTTAACAGTACCATGATAATTGTAGTCACTATAATTGTGATATTTACTTTTCATACCGTTACATCTCACATGTCCAGCCTACGTTTTGTGAAGTCATACTGGGCATTTTTGTCATTTTATGAAATCTAAAAACCACAAAATTAATTGATCAAGAGAATATTAAATTGTATGTATTAAATTAATTGAAACAGCCTTTAGCTGTCCTAACTGCTAATAGAGGACCTACAACTTAATTAGAGCTAGCTAGCTCAAGCACGCTCTTTTCCAATAAGTGTTAAGACAAAAGATTATTATTAAGAAGGCTATGTATGTAACTGAATACGTTTAACACTGCATTTCACAACTACAAGACATGCAGGCTGATAGTAGGAAGTACGATCAATTTAATGTGTAGTTGAGCTTGCACTTTGTTAGCTTGCTAACGGTTTTTTTTTGAAAAATGTGCAGCCGCCGTGACATTGCCACGTCTAACTTTAGCCAGCTAACGATAACCGTCGTCGAGGTAGCGCAGTCATTGTACGGATGTTCGCAAACACCCACCTTCAGCTACTAACGTTACACACTGCATCAGAAGAAATCACACTTCTTATAAACTGAGACCTCGATGCAAGTCACATTTTCGACGACCATTAACGATAAATGCTGCATATGCTAGCTAGGTAGCATTAGCAGCCCAGGCCCGTGCAATCAACAAGGCCAACGGTGAGGCCTGTGGAGACTCGTTATCGTCCAGTGCGTTCCAAAAAAAAATTCAATAAACGGCCTCAACCTTACCCATTTTTCAGGTCGACTTCCAAAATCTTTCCGTAGCCTTTGAAGAATCTCTCCACGTCCTTTTCTCTGGCTCTGTAACTCAACCTTCCGATATACACTCTCGACATGGTGCTGACGAAATAATAGACAGAGCTCACACAAAGGAAAGCGCGACGTTGTGCTGCTGTTCCAGCCCAGCAGGTGGCGGTAATGCACCTAAAGTTATTTGCCAGCCGCCATTAAACGACTAAAGAGGAAGAAGTAGTAGTTTAGGTGACTGGTAGATAAGTAACGGGACGTTAGCTGAATGCTAATGGAAACAGGTTAACCAACTAACCAGCTAGCTAGCTAGTTAACGGGCTCAGACATGGAGTGCGCCTCTTTTTCAAAATACTCCTGGATCGATTTTGTCTTCTCTGTCATGGGAGTGTGCACTTTCCTCCTAGACTGGGGCTCAGATGTGTGGGTAGCCATAGAGTTCTACTGCCGCGGGGACTTCTTCTGGTTCGGGATACTGGTCGGTCTCATGTTTCTATCGTCTGTCTTGGTGCAGATGTTCAGCTGGGTCTGGTTCACGTACGACCGGCAGCTGCCGGGGTTCAGCGCACAGACCGGCGCAAGTACTGTGCTCTTCGGGGACCGAGTGAAGCTTTCATGCCTGTTGCATGTGTTGCAGCTGGGTTTCCTTTGCAGGTAGGTGTTAATAACAGAGCCGAGACATTGTTATTGTAGTTTAAGTTATTAAGATCTGATATATTGACACTTGACTTGATATACCAGCGCAGAGCTTTATTTCTTGTGGCTTTTGGTTTCTCAGTATGAGGGGAGTTTCAGAAACAGGCTAAATGTAAATCAAACGCCCAGTCCGTGAGTTGCAAACACACTTCAGTCCATGGATGGATTACTGGGGCCCAAGGGGATTTTTGACCAGCAGTTCAAAACCCGGAGATAACGGTGAAGACGGTGACGCTGCAACTGAGAATATTTACATAAAATATTAAATTTTTAATAAGGAATTTAAGTTGTATGAATGACATGAATCAGTGCTGCTGAAGACAGTCCTTATGCCAGATTGCCTATTTTTTGTCAGAGGTTTAGCTGCATGGATTTGGCATGTGATCATTGTTGTGTCATCCCTTGTCAGCAGTCTTGCTCTGACATTTTCGTCCATATAGACACGTCTCCGCCATATGTCAAGGCTTCAGGGTTTGGTGGCGGAAAGAGGAAGGATCAGAGTATGCTGTTTATCTGACACATGACCTCAGCATGCTCAGGCTCATCGAGACCTTCTCTGAGTGTGCTCCTCAGCTCACCCTGATGATCTATGTCATGCTGACCACCAATCAGGCCAGGACTGTTCAGTGTGAGTTCCTCTTTGGTTTAATTTATTTCCACCCCACAAGGAAAAAAACAAACTACAATTGAAGATCTGGTTTTATGTGTGATAAAACCAGGTGACAAATGAAAAACCAATGTAACTGCTGTTTAATACATCACTCCAAAATCTGCCATATGTCGTCATCTGGGTTGAGATCTGGTGACTGCAAAGGTCACAGGATATGATTCACATCATTTTCATACTCCTCAAACCATTGAGTGATCCCTCGTGCCCTGTGGATTGGGACTTTTCCTTTAGTGTGTCACCAGTCTGTATTCACATAGTTGAGGAAGTAGAAGCATGCAATTTTTGTTTTGACAGGTCATGACATACCACAAAATGTGTGTAGTGTACACTTCCTCTTGGTTGCTACACTGATGTTTGCCTTCTCTTTTTGCAGTTGTTAGCATTGCTGCATCAACCACATCCATAGCTTGGATGGTGGTGGATTACCACCGCTCCCTGCGTTCCTTTGTCCCAGACAAAGTCAAGCAGCCCTGGGGTTCCTCCTTGATCTACTTCCTGTGGAACCTGCTGCTCATTGCCCCTCGTGTGGCAGCCCTCGCCCTTTTTGCTTCTGTCCTACCTGCTTGCATTGCTGCTCACTTTCTGATGCTGTGGTTTGTCTTTGTGTTATGGGCATGGCAACAGAGGACAGACTTCATGGACAGTGATAGTGGGGAGTGGCTCTATCGTGCCACTGTGGGGGTCATTTGGTACTTCAGCTGGTTTAACGTAGCGGAGGGCCGCACCTGGGACAGAAGTCTCATCTACCATTCCTTCAGCATCACAGACACAGGAATCCTGCTGGTCACGTGGTGGTGCTACAGAGACCCTGTCCAGACTGAGTCATATGCCCTCTCTCTGATCATCACTCTACCTCTCACCTACCTCCTAGGCCTGCTCTTTAAAGCCCTCTATTACTGCTGCTTCCACCCAAAACTGTGGAGGCCCCTGGTGAGGGACCCGCGACTAGCTGAAGATCTGCCTGATGCACTTGTCTCCTTTAGACGCTTCTCCACCCAGGACACCGCTGTGTCCTCCCAGCTCCTCAACAAACGGATGGCCTGCCATGCTACTCATTTTTACTCCCAGCAAGGAGTCGTAGGAAACAGTGATGGCACAAATGGAGCAAAGTCACCACATTTGTGATTCCTGTTTTGTGTGTCACAGCCGGTAGTGCACTACAGGTGCCTGTTACTTTCTGTGCTGGATTACAGCAGGCTATCTCCCGTCTCCTATTTGTACTGCAATTTCACCAGATGCTCAGTGTATACTGGCCTAAAATGCAGGCTCAGTACTTGAGCCAGTGGTCACAGTGGATGTAATCCTCTTTACCAGCATTTGCAGTTTTACACTACTATCAATATACATATTTTGCAATATAATTAATTCCTGTAAAATCAGTTAGACTGAATCCAGTAAATGAAATTTAAGCTCATTTCATTTATGCAAAAACCATGTAAAAAAATCCAACTTTGCCATAAAGCTGTCCTGTGTGTTCATTTGCAACTTTGCCATGATGGGACACTCGACAGCTCCCACAATATAAGATGATGGTTTCCACTGTGATATTTCTTAGCTCCATTTGACTCTATGGTAATTTGGCATGGTGTCTTATAAAACTAACAAAGTAAAAAGGTTAGAGTTGTATTTCAGACTTTACGGGAGCCAAAAAACATTGTGTCGGTAAACAAATATTAAATAACAAGGTTTACAATATTCAGTTTTGACAGAATTTTTAAGCCCAAGAAGTCAGATTTCACAACTCTAAATTTTAAATTAAGCCGCAAACATCATCAGATTAGATTTCCCAGAGTTTCATGTGACACAAGAAATATCCAAGGCATGTGTTTTTGGGTCATGTTACAGCTGCTATGACGGGAACCATTTTGAATGACTTTGAATGTAGATTTGACAATAAGCTGTAATGTTTCTGTTAATGCACTAGCTTCACTTCAAGATGATTTTTTTTTTATGGGGTAAATAAGATTTGATTGTTTACATGTTAGCACACGACTCTGCCTTTAGATTTCAAATAGGTGGAAATGCTAATGTTGTTTAAATGTTGAAAGAATATGTAAAACATATTTGTTTACATCAGTTCAGGCTCATCACTGTCTGAATTTACTGAGCAATACTGTGCTACACTTGGACGACTGCTACGATTCCAGTACCATGGTATGTGATATTTAAAGTTCTTTGGGTTCTCTTAAAGGTTTGTACAAATTGGTCTAAATGTTATATGTGAGACTTTGACATGTCTTGTTTTGACATGGTTTATTGCTAATTTCAGCGAATGTGTAGAGATCCACTTGTTTGTTACATACTCAGCTGAAACCAAAGGTTAGGGTCACTACTGCCTTTTACCTCATTGGCCATGTGCAGTCAATAAAGTGGTAAGAATAATTATTATGTGTTTTTATTTGTTTCTCTGGCCCAGACACTGTGGTGCAGCCTGCAAACAGTGTCTGATTTGAATGATTTACAGTTAGATGTGTCTCTTCTTTATCCACAGCTTGTTAAAATGACAGCTTTCCACAGGTGGGTGTGTGCAAGCTACGAGTGATTGTGTCATAATAGTATTAGGATTGGTTGGGAGGGGGAGTTAACAAGAGTTTAAATACTGAACTTTGTACTTTCGTTTCTCATTCAAGGCAAGGTTAGCATGCGATGTGTCAGCTCTCTGGTCTATGACAGTCACTATGGGTGTGTTGAAGTTTTCCTGCGTGGATTTTGTCTTCACTTGTGTGGGTCTGGTTTTCTTACTGCTCGACATAGTGCTGGATGTATTAGCCGCTTTGTCCTTCTACTGGGAACAGGCATACGTGAGCCTCGGCGTGCTGCTGCTGTTTCTCATGGGCTCGTCGGTGCTCGTCCAGGCCTTCAGCTGGCTCTGGTACAGCTATGACAACTTTGAGAGGAAGACCAAGGTGGAGAGCTGCGTGAGCCTGCGCCAGCTACTTGTTCTGCATTTGTTCCAGCTGGGAATCTACTTCAGGTATGTGACACTTTCTGGTGTAATCTGGTATGTGTCAGAACGTATGGAGTTACTCGGTCATTCAGGTCACGTATGTCCAAAGTGGTGTGTGAGAACACAAGAAAAGAACAAAACTAGTATTTACATTGCCAGTAGTTTCTGTTTCACATGTGGCTCCATCTGTGAACTCCACCCTGACTTTAGCTGGTCTGGTCATGAAGCATTACTCATTCACCTATGTACATGCAAAGTACAGTAAATAAATCTGAATGGAACAGTTGTGCTACACCTCCAGTCTAGGAGGATTCCCCCTAGCCTGGGAATTGGTGAAGCCTGATGAAGTCTTAGAGGAAACATTACATCATCATCTCGTGCAGGGTGCTTCATCTGTTTCTTTGTTTCCAAACTTGTTACACAGGATATTGTAATAATGGCCTTTTATGTGCGGGGGAGCCTTTCTGTTTAGATTGCAGCATTTCTGCCTTAGTGAAAAGTTATTAAGTACATTTACTCAAGTATAATTTTGAGTGTTTTGATTTTCTGCTACCTCATCCTTCAGCTTAGCTACATTTTACAGGCAAATTGTAGTTTTTACTGCATTACAATCATTTTAGTTACTTTTCAGAATCTGATGAATAAAACAAAATACAGTATAATCAGAAGAGTTTGATCTCGCCAGAAAATACATACTGCGTAAACTTTAATTGCATTTTGATGCCAATACTTTTACTTAAGTAGCAATTTAAATGCAGGAGTTTTACTTGTAAAGTACTGTTAATTCGACTTGAGGAAAGAATATAAGTACTTCTTCCACCACTGCATTTCTGACCAGGATGACACAGTAACAAGTTATAACACAGTTTCTTTGCATACTTAAAATATTTTTGATTAGCTCTCGGAGCACTTTGTTTCCTCACTCTTGATATTATGATGGTAAAACCTTTTGTTGAAACCAGAGTGGCTCTTTTTCATGTATTAATACCCTCTGTGACAAAAATACTGCCCAAGTAATAAAAATGAATACATCCATCATGATTTCTTGCAGGCATGCTGGTGTTGTGGAGGCTTCTGTATGTGGCTACTTCAAACATACTGATGACCTCAAGAATTATGCAGTGTACCTGAGCCACGATCTCAACATGCTGCGGCTCATAGAGGCGTTTTCAGAGAGCGCCCCTCAACTTGTCCTCATGCTCACCATTGTCCTGCAGCGGGGCGAGCTCAACCCTGTCACAGGTGTAGTACTTTACTGTGGATCACCACATGTGACAGCTGAAGTAATGCATGACTTTAGGGTTCAAGGATGGCCAAATAGTTTTGTCAGGTTGGCCCACATGTGCCTGCCACTGCTCTCAACTGTGCCATCACAGCACAACTAGGTGATTTCTTTGCCTCATCTACAAGCCGTCAAGTGCAATGGTTCATCAAAAGTATGAGTGCAGATTTTTTTTATCACACTCAAAAACATTCTGTGCATGAAAAAGGTACCCTAAATGTTTAATGCACTGAGGAAGCAGACCTTCATTAGATTTCTACATGAAGCTAAAAGAAGTGGTTGACAACTATTTTGATAGTTGTTTGTCATTTTTTAAGCAAAAATAGTGACAGAATTCCAAACATTCTCTGATTCCAGTTTGCTAAATGTGAGAATTTGCTGCTCTTCTTGGTCTTGTATTACTGAAACCTGAATATTTTGGTGTTTTGGACTATTGGTCAAACAAAACAAGACATTTTAAGGTGTCCTCTTTGCCCCTATGAAGGTGTAATGGGCTTTTATTTTATTAGCTATAGCCTAAATAATAATCAAAAATTAAGATTAATAAAATGAAAGTCAGGTGGATTTACAGTTTGCCATTTCAGTCATGTTTAAACTTCTCCAAACATCACCTCTTCTCCTCCTCAGTGTTGAAGGCAGTTGCGTCGGCCTCAGCCATCGCCTTCAGTGTGACCATGTACCACCGCTCCTTGCGCTCCTTCCTACTCGACAAGGAAAAGCAGCCACTGCTTTCCTCTGTGGTCTACTTCTTCTGGAACCAGCTCCTCATCATGTCTCGCCTCACCGCCCTCGCCCTTTTCACCTCCGTGCTGCCCTGCTTCATCCCGACCCACTTCATTTGCTCTTGGATGGTTCTGTTCTTCTTTGCCTGGCGTTCTAAGACAGATTTAATGGATAGCGCTGTTGGAGAATGGCTTTACCGGGCTACTGTAGGTCTCATTTGGTATTTCAGCTGGTTTAACGTGGTCGAGGGCAGGACGAGATACACGACTCTGCTCTACCACGGGTACATCCTGGTTGACATGTCCATTCTCTGCAGCTTGTGGTGCTGGAAGATCATCACAGAACCACCTTCTTATTTGGAAATACAACCCTTGTATGCTGTAATCACGGCTGTTGGTGTTGTTGCAGTTTACATTATTGGTCTCTTAGTTAAAACAATATATTATAAATGTTTCCATCCAAACCTTGGCAAAGAAAAGCTGAAAGGAGACGTCACTGAACAGTCCCGAACTGAACCGTGGCCGTCTACGAACAAACTTCATCTGTGTACTGTAGATGGTAATCAGGATAAATTCCTGAACGGCGAGATGGAGACAGATGTTACAGATCGCATGTGGCCCAGCCCATCAGAGGACATTGAAAGAGCCCTTCCTCCACTGGAACGCAGCACTGAATGCTACAATAAAAGAATGAGGAAGCTGGCGGCGAACTTCTACTCCTGACCTGCATCACTTGACATCCACAGGCCGTGGAGGTTAGAAAGAGACTGAGTCATGCAGATGTCACTCTGCTTCTTAATCAAGATCATGGGGCTGTGTGGGATGGAGGACTATGACCTGCTCCGTGATGAATCTCACAGCACACCACTGGAGTTCAATTGGAAATTGTTCCTCAGCACTTTCTGAATGGTGCTTTACCTTGTGAAGGTAAAAAAACAGTACTTACATCGATGTTATTCAAGTGTCAGAGATGGGAAATGAAATCCATCATCCATCTGTGCAAAAATGTAGCAAAATCTAAGGGACTGTAAGAAAATTATTGCAGGTGGGCGACAAGGCCAAAAAAGGGAAAAAAAAAAATCTGTAAACCCTCACCTTGATTTAGAGAAATAAAACACCCTCAGCACTTATCTCAAAATAATAGTGTACAATTGTTATAACATGGCTGAAGAATTTACAATTTTAGATTTAGTATGCTGATGGATTTTTTCACAATATCCAGTAAATTACACTGTAGAAAATGAGGCAAACAGATTTCAGCCAATCAATTCAGAAACAAGACTAACTGAACATTTCTTACCTTTGTCAGACATGCACCTCTTTATGTTAATCTGATGGCATGTTGGTCACATGTCTGAACAAGAGCCTTCAATCTCTTTTACATTAACGTAACAATTACTGTCATGGACCTAGTGGCAGTTCTGTGAAAGTATTATCTCCAGCTGCATCTCTTATACACAAAATAAGTTCCAAAGGTCCAAAAAATGTTTTGCAAAGTGATCTAATGAGGATCACTGTTGGATATTATAAATAGAACAGGCTACAGATATTGGATGGATGAAGCCAGCAATGCTACATATTCTATGACTGAAAAGGGCACCTGCACAGGCAGCAGCTTCAAGTGATGATGGGAATCAAATCTAAATGTGGGATGAGACTAAAATACTCCCCGCCTGCTCATCCTGTCACTCCTTTAGCAAAAAAAAAAAAAAAAAATGATGCAAAACCCTGCTTTTTTTCACCTTGTTCTCCCACATAATGTTCATACAGTCCCTAATCAAGGCTGAGGCTCCATCAATCACAGGAAGTTGAGTGTTTTCAGTATTAAATTTCTTTGTTACTGTGTCGTCTGCGGCTTAGCAAAGAAGCACTGTCCAGGTATTGGCTTCGGATAAAATGAAGAAGTAATTTCAGTTCATTAGGAAGGGATCTCTGTGCTTTATGGGTGCGAATCACAGCAGCTCACGGACAAAGTATTCTAACAGACAAACCTCATGGTTCTTCCAGCAAAACGTTTGCTGTCAAGCACTTCACTAAATTTGAAGTATTTAAAGATATTTCTGTTTACATCAGTAATTTTTATGTAATAATAAACAGCTTGAGTCTGTAAATTTATTTACATTGTACCAAGTGTTTTTAGGTACACAGGACCACCTTACAGGACTGTGTCAGGGTCCCAAACAGCTACTGTGGTGAAAATAGTGATTACCGTCATTAAATTAGCATCAATTATTATTATAATGTTCAGTTAACAGGATCACATTTTCTACAAGGGCCCATGTAGCCTCACAGGTCTCATTGAAAATGAGATGAAATACATAAAACTGTATAAACACAAACAGCATTTCAAAAATAACAGTATTTGGCATTGGAAAAGAAAGCAAACGGCTAAGTTTTATGACAGCCATGTTATACTTCAAAACAGGCATGACATGCAGATAAAGTAAAGAAATAAAGAGGAAACACATTCAAAGAACAGAAGAGATGCAGAAATTGCATATGGTCTGAGTTGCCTCAAATATTTCAGGACTGACAAGCTTCACTTAGGTAGGACAATACTGAACAATCAAACAGTAACCTGATCTGCACTGAAAACACCATTTGTCAAGAGATCGTGATTGTCTAAGCAATGCAGAGTGTTTCCCAACAACAAAATAGGCGCAGTCTCTTTAGAAGAGGACAAAAGCAAAACAGAAGCAGACCTGATTGTTGAGAAGAGAGATTTTCACTTGTAGAATGATGAGAAACTATTAAAAAAAAAAAAGTACTGTCACTCCAAACTGGGATATCTACAGTATTCTGGAAAAACATTTTGGGAACTGTACTTGCAGCAGAGTGACTGTTCTCTTATTTCATCTAAAGCCCTTCACTCGCATGGTTTTCTCTGAACAACCAACAGCAACACCCTTCCCAAAACAGATGCAGTTTTCCAGGAGAGCTTTCAAACACAGCGCTGAAAAGGGCACTTGAATCAAAACCTAGCTTAACACAAAATCTCAACGGCACTTAAACGTAGCTTTAAAGGTAACGTAACACTTTGGATAATATAACAATGTAGTGATAAATGCATCAAACAAATCCATTTGAGATTATGCACACAGATTATGGTTAAAGGCACGATTTAAATATGCACTGTCACTCAAGACGCAAATTACTGAGAAATACACATTCTTAACTGTCAAGCTGCAAGTGTGTGAATATAACATTTTCAGGCTCAGTATTGTTCAGTCATAATCTCATACAGACCCCCTGTTCCCTCACTAACCACGACAAGCAAATGGAAAAAGAGTAGAGTAGAAATGTATTGCACACTCAACGTCCTTTGTTTTCCGCTCCAGGTTGTGGGTTGATACAAAGTCTACGCTGTCCAAGTCATTCTCAGGTTGTCTGATAGAACCAACAGGCCCAAAGTTTTAGATAAAGCTGAAACGATCAGCTGATTAATTGAAGATTATTTTTGATAAACCAATAACTGGTTCTATTTTTTTTCTTGTTTTTTTTTTTTTTTTTAAAGAAAAGGCTGTAAAATGAATGTGAATGTGAATATTTGACAGTAAACTGAATGTCTGTATTTTGAACTGCTGGTCAGACATAAGCTATGTAAACATAAGTTAGGCTACTGTGATGTTTTCATACATTTTACATTTTATAGATGAATTTACATGGAAGGCAGAACCTCCCAATTTCTAAGACATCTTCAAAATGTCTGTTTTGACTAACCAGAGTCCACAATGTAAAGATATTCAGTTCACAAATAATTCTTCCATGTATCAAGTAGGAAACCAGTACATTTTTGGTATGTTTGCAAGTGACTGATTGCTATAGCTCTAGACAAAATGACTAATCAAATAACTGAGAAACCAGCAGAATAATTATTAAAAATAACCTCTAGCTGCAGCCATACTTTTAGCTCAGTGACATTCAACAACTGAGAAAACGGGCTGAGTTGTCTTTGGGAACTAAAGTATGCAACTTCCTTTTGCAAAGCATTTCTGATTGTGTAGCCACATATTGGTTATGAAAGATAATTCAACAGCAGTCTAACTCTGTCACACAGACCAAAACTGTGCTACTGAATTGTCCAGCAAACCACTGACAGAGCAGAAACTAACTGTCTAAGCCTCCTATGTGTATCCAAGCTGAGAGTTAAACAAACACCACCCCTCCTACACAGAACCAAGACACTCACAATGCGACCGTATTGACTGCCAGTGCTGCTCTCAGGTGCTGCTGTTGGTTCAGAAATCACGCCTAAACCTCAGCATTCAGTTCATGCTGGAGACATACAGGGCATCTGACTCCTGACTAAAACTACCATGACTTATCATGTTGCCCTCCAAATGCAGAACAAATTTTAACCGAATTTCCCGAAAATATGAAAAAGAAAATGCAAATCAATGTGCATTTCCATCCACAACAGTTAATGCTAATATTAGGAGTTGAGCACGTCGCATCGTTCCATATCAGGTATGATAAAAGACAATCATTTAGTTTTTCAGTGGCTCTCCAACAACAACAACAACAACAACAACACATCAAGCAGAGGCTCTGTGCCCGCCAGACCCAACCAGAAATCAGTCCATGGGTGCTCACATTTTCCTGCATCTTCCTGAAAAACACTGAACCTTCAAAAAAAAAAAAAAAAAAAAAAAAAAAAGAAATGGATCAGGTAATGTTTGCAGGGTCACATTATCCTTATTCACACCTTTAAAGAACGTAAATTCAAGGAGCACTCCAACAAATCCCACTGTTTTAAATACAATCCAGACAATCACTAGAACACTTGTCAAAGCTTTTCTTCTTTTTGATGCAAGTTTCAAGGACACTTAGGACTGTGCTCTGTGGAGCCAGAAGGACAGGATGCGTCAAAATACAAACGGCATTGATTATCGTCGCTGTCCCGTGAAAACCATGCATCTTCATTACATCATGAATTAAGAAAAACTACTGTTTTCAGTTTTGTGCGGGAGCAGAGTTCAGGTAGTAGTTTATGTAGCTGGAGAGGGGGGAGCATCTTCTTTAAAAGAAACTGGGGATGCTAGTTACAAATAGAAAATAATACTGAATCTTAGGAAAACTGAATTTTACAATGCAGTGTCACTTCAAAGTCAGTTTGATGGACATTGTGTGTAAAGTTCCTGTTACTATGAACCAGTGAACTACCTGGATTTTTTTACACTATGATGTAGTGCATACTGTCTAGAATTAGTATGCACAAAGGATTTGGGAAAACAGGTAAGGTTTTCATTAGACTGTGACATTATGCACAATAACCTGTGCACTGCCTTACAAATACTACTGGGGCAGGAAATGTACATAACTGTGCAAAGGTTTCAGGAATTTTAGGGAGGTGTCGACATTGTACCAAACTCATTCTGTGGCAGGACAATGAAACCAAACATCCAGCCAGCACCACAAGGAACCAAGCTCAGACAGGAAGAACCTGCAGATGGTCTGGTCAACATCACAGAGTCAGTCCGGGATCACATGAAGAGGCAAAACACAGAGATGGCCAAAAGCCACAGAAGAACTGTGGCAGGCTCTCCCAGATGCTGGAACTACCTACCTGACAAGTACATTAAGATACTTTGTGCAAGTTTCTCTGGAAGAACCAGTGCTGTTTTAAAGTTGGGCCCCTGTTTACTGCACTCTGACTCTAATTAATAAAAGGTACTCAGGGTATTGTTTTTAAAAGAACACTTACTTTACTTTTAGGGCCTAAAACCTTTGCACAGAAAAGTCTCTCTCCTGTCAAACTCTCCAGTCGTTGCTGAAACTAATTTCATTTGTCTTTATCGCATGTTTTCCTGCTTACTACTGTCTGTATCACCGTTAATTCAGGTTAATCTGGAAGCATGTGTTTGACAGAAGCCTCTGATTCTCAGCACAAGCGTTCTGACCACAGACACACACACACCTGCTGTTGCAGCACAGTGGAGAGGTCGGGGCAGCTGACTGATGGTGTGGTTTGGTCAGGAGGGGAGATCATGATCAAGTTATTTGACCCCTTCCAGTACCTTGTGTTAAATAGTGGACTAGCTACATGGGAGGTAAATAAAGAATTTAAAATAGGATAATTTAATACATAATGGCTGTCAGTAACTTGATTTACAATGAGACTGCTTTTAAGTCTTTGAATGAGTGCAAAACAACCCAGAAAGATTTTTTTTCAAATTTGCTTTGTTATTTTCAGTTATTCAGATTCTAAACAAAAAGCTAGAACACCACCAAAAGAGAATGCTAATAAAGAGCTATGACCCTTTGGTTGTTCAGATCCAGAAAGAGAAATAAAAATTAGGAGGATAGTGTTCGTGCAGGAAACTAGAAATAAAGAATGAGATAAAGGCCAAAGTCCGAGGAGGAGGAGAAATGGTCTTCACTTCTGTGTCCAAATCAGTGCCAGTTTCAGCCATGTCTAGTTTAGCTGCCGTAGAGTGCTGGGTGTGAGGAACCTTGATTCAGCCGGCTGCTGTGTCCAGTACTTTCTCACACTCAGCTCTGACCCAAAGTCCCCCTCAGTACATTACCATCCAGTTCACACGGCGAGTCATTAGTCGTCAGTGAGGGTAAATAGGTTTCTAATATACGAGTGTGTATCACTAGGGTCGTGGAGGCCAACAGGATGACGACTACATTTTCCCTTTCGTGTGTGACATTCTACACCATCTCCTTTACAAGAAGTCCAGCTCCAGCGCTTGGTGCAGGGACATGAGGTCGCCATGAGCGGAGATCCGCCAGAAAGGCATATTGTGCTGCACACGGAGACAGCCACAACCAAATATTTAGTAACATCACACATAGCAACACTGCATAAACAAATACTCATTAGTGTACAGCAAACAAAAGCAAATGCGGTAGTTCTCACAGGCAAAATATCAGTTGTGATCGCTGCAGCATGGCAGGCCAGATCCTGCCTCATCACTAATAGTCCCACAATGTCATGCGACTGGTTGCAGGCAGCTGAGCTTATTTTATAAACTAGTTTACATGCTTACTTCTTGATTGAAGAAATATTTAAGTAGTGAGAGCTACTCGTCTGGGTTGGACACTTTAAAACGAAAACCCAGAGTCACAGCAACTGTACTTAGATTTTCCTGCAGTGTAGAATGTGATAAAATTCTGAGGACACCGCCTTTTCTAGTTCTACGGACTAACACAACAAACAAGGCAGATAGTCCTCATCTGGGACACCACGCTTGGGCACCACACAGATTGCCTAACATACCTGTTTTGCTGCAAACTCCTCATCTCGTCCATCACCTATAACCACGTAAGTAACTTTCTTCCCAAAGCGAGAGATGATCCTCTCAAAGCAACTCTCTTTTCCTGCATCAAAAATGGAAAATGTAAAGCTTACCGAATTTCACAGTACAACTTCTTGCTGCACACAGAGTTATATAGCACAAATATTTAAATCAGCATTTTAAAAACATTTACTGCTCATGTTCTTGGTATTTTCACATGTACCTATTTTGGTGGCGCTGTAGATGTTCTCAATAGGGAAGACGTCTCCCAGACCATAGAGCAGCACTTTGGCCAGAGCTGGAACCAGCTGAGTGGTGGTGACCAACACATTCATACACTTCCCCCTGTGTATCACTAGGGTCGTGGAGGCCAACAGGATGACGACTACATTTTCCCTTTCGTGTGTGACATTCTACACCATCTCCTTTACAAGAAGTCCAGCTCCAGCGCTTGGTGCAGGGACATGAGGTCGCCATGAGCGGAGATCCGCCAGAAAGGCATATTGTGCTGCACACGGAGACAGCCACAACCAAATATTTAGTAACATCACACATAGCAACACTGCATAAACAAATACTCATTAGTGTACAGCAAACAAAAGCAAATGCGGTAGTTCTCACAGGCAAAATATCAGTTGTGATCGCTGCAGCATGGCAGGCCAGATCCTGCCTCATCACTAATAGTCCCACAATGTCATGCGACTGGTTGCAGGCAGCTGAGCTTATTTTATAAACTAGTTTACATGCTTACTTCTTGATTGAAGAAATATTTAAGTAGTGAGAGCTACTCGTCTGGGTTGGACACTTTAAAACGAAAACCCAGAGTCACAGCAACTGTACTTAGATTTTCCTGCAGTGTAGAATGTGATAAAATTCTGAGGACACCGCCTTTTCTAGTTCTACGGACTAACACAACAAACAAGGCAGATAGTCCTCATCTGGGACACCACGCTTGGGCACCACACAGATCGCCTAACATACCTGTTTTGCTGCAAACTCCTCATCTCGTCCATCACCTATAACCACGTAAGTAACTTTCTTCCCAAAGCGAGAGATGATCCTCTCAAAGCAACTCTCTTTTCCTGCATCAAAAATGGAAAATGTAAAGCTTACCGAATTTCACAGTACAACTTCTTGCTGCACACAGAGTTACATAGCACAAATATTTAAATCAGCATTTTAAAAACATTTACTGCTCATGTTCTTGGTATTTTCACATGTACCTATTTTGGTGGCGCTGTAGATGTTCTCAATAGGGAAGACGTCTCCCAGACCATAGAGCAGCACTTTGGCCAGAGCTGGAACCAGCTGAGTGGTGGTGACCAACACATTCATACACTTCCCCCTGTTGGTGGGTATAAAACACACACACACACGCGCGCGCGCTTATATGCATGCATAAATGGTTTTAAAAGATGAAAACACAAAGCTTTATTTAAATAAGACCTTAGTCTACATATTCACAGTGCCCAGAGTAGTGTGTGTAAACAATGCAACACATACCGGTAATGTCAGCCGGTGTGATGCAAACAGTGTGAGCTTAAAAAACTGCTTAACAAAACCAAAAACAGCAACACCTGTGCTCCACTCTAACCTGGACTGGATGAGCAGCAGAGACTTGAGTGCAGTGCTGAGCCAGGCGTCTGTCACATTCTCTATCTCTGACTGAAGCTGTAGAAGCAGCTCCCTCTTCATTGGACTCAACAGACCTGAAGACAACAACATGCAATTATGCACAAGCCTTGTACACAACCTCTATTCTACCAGTTTCACTATCACTATATCAGGAACCAAAGGTGAATGTAATATTCACATTTTACGGTTTCCAAATGTCTGAAATGACACACCTTCTAAAATGCTTTACAATTGGTTGTGCCATCCAAAAATATAATTCCACAGACTGACATTTAAAAAGACAAAAAGCAGAAGACACACAAACAGACAGCTTTGTTTATTTTGGCTGCTTGGCTGAAACATTACCTTGTTTGTTTGACATGGCTGGGAAAATAGGTCAAATTCACATGGTGTTTGTTTCCTTTTGCCTTTTGGATATTGAAAAAATTTAGCTAATTTTACTGAGCAAATACAATGCAGATGCTGTGTGTCAAGCCACTTATCTGCTCTTTGTCTGAGTGAGGACAAATCCTGGGTGAGGATACAGGGAGGTAGAGCTGCCCCCTAATAGTCCAATAATATAGTCACTAGTTGAGAGACCTGTCAGTCAACTGAGACTCTTCTAGCTGAGCCTTTATTTTCATTATATTTTATTTTTGACAGCCAGTGTGTAAAGTGCACTGAGACATGTGTTGCTCTGAATTGAATTGAACTGTCATACACATCCCCTCCTTGAACCGCCACCTTATTGTGGTGGAGGGGTTTGAGTACCCGAGTGATCCTAGGAGCTATGTTGTTGGGGGCTATATGTCCCTGGTAGGGTCTCCCAAGGCAAACAGGTCCTGGGTGACGGGTCAGACTAAGAGCAGTTCAAAAGCCCTTTATGAATAGATTAAAATCAAGGACCGTGACGTCGCCCGGCATGGCGCAGCCGGGGCCCCACCCTGGAGCCAGGCCCGTGGTTGGGGCTCAAATGCGAGCGCCTGGTGGCCAGGCCTCCCCTCACGGGGCCCGGCCTGGCTTAGCCCGAACGAGCCACGTGGGGACCTC